AAATTTACCGAGCGCGATTGGGTTGTAGGTGGCGGCACCTACAACTAACGAATTAGGATGACCGACGGCAGAGTCAAAATAACGACGCGAGAGTCTTTCGTTGTGTTGGAATTTTTGTATAACGTTTTGTAGGAGAATATGAATGAGGGATGGATATCGCCCAAAATTAATCTCCACTCACACCATAGGCTACAGTGAATTAAAATATAATAGTGATAATGAAAATCAATAACAGTTAATATTGTACTATAGTGTAGTTTCTCTGTCCTCTATTATTATTTTATACTTAGTTAATTAAAGAATTAACTAAATTGATACTTATAAAATTTCAGATTTTAGGGGGTTTCGTATAAGTATAAGTTAAGTTGTTACTTGTTATTCTTAAATACATTTAAAGCGGTAAGTATATTTTTCTTTGTGAAATGTAACAATGTGAACGATTGGATCAAAAGAATTTCTTCCATTGAGCACGTTTCTTACTGGGAAAAGCGCTTTGACAGTGAATTGCCAAAAGCCAAGATAATATCACTATAAAGGTGATTCAAAAAACATTACCAATAAGTAGATAACATTATACACGCATTTAATAAAGAAAAGGATATGTTTTATTTGGTATATTCAAAAATATATTGTTCTCATAACTTCATGTACTTTGAATATACAAATGACATAAAGTAAACATAAAGTAACTATCATATTATTATTATACTTGTTGTATTAACACAAATAACAGTTTTCCCGAACGATAGACAGCTTCTACCCTTCAATAAGGGTAATAAACTTCGAAAAGTGATATATTCTTAAGAATACTGTTTAAAAAAAGATGTATATGGTTTATATTTGAATGAAATATATTGATGAACTTCATCAGATGCAAAACATACTAGAATTAAAAGAGATATCTTTAAAATTAAGTATTCATACTGTTTTCAAATAATATTCGATTCACTGAAGAACATTTCATTTAGGCGTCAATCAATCTTGTTTAACAAAAACATTGTAAATCTTAAAAGGATTTGTAAGTGAGTAACGAATTTTCTTCACTACGTTATTAGTAGAGTTTCACGATTTTCAAACTTGCAGGAATTTTTACATTCATCTTTAATAACAGATATTAGATCTATATGGAGTTTTTTAGCCTAAGTGCAATCGTCATTTTTTACTTTTTTTTATACACAAAATATAGTTAAATAAATAAACTTACACTTGCCTTTGCTGTATTCAGAAATAAATCAACGTCTTAAAAGATCTGATTAATTAAACGATTAATTTTCAAATTACATTGAACAAAGTATGTAATCAATTCTTTAAAGCGTATTTAATGGAATATAGGCGGAGTGGCGGCGAGGAAAGCGTAGGTTTGTCTCAAGTCCCGACAGATTCGCGTGAACACTTATTTTATTTATTTATTTATCATTGGTTTATCAACATAATTACATGACTTTAAATGAATTTCTTTGTAGCGTTAATAATACAGCTACACATGGCATCATGCAACTACAATTATAGATAAACACATCTTGCTTTAATTACATACATGCTTAAACACTGACTATATAAAATAAGGATAATACAATATTACTACGTAAGTGTTTTAGATTAATTAAACAACAGATTGATTTCTATAAAGACAACAAATTTAAAATTTAAGTTGGCTACACTAATAATATAAATTTACAATTAAAAAGATAAAATCAAACTAAATAATAAAAAGAAATACTAAACTGAATACTAGACGTCTGTGACTTTGTATGGATTCAATACACCAACAATCTTGGATTTAAAAGCTGGTAATTTGTCGTATAATAAATCAATGGAGATATCTTTTTTTGTAAAATATTGTAGTAATCTACATAACCTCGGAATTAGTGAGTGATGACCCAAATTAGATTTATAGGTTCTGTGTGTAAGGATAGACTTTGGGTAACGTGGCAAGCGAGATGGGACATCAAATGAGAAACGGTTCAGCAGATCAGAGTTATCAAGTAATCCGTTAAGTAGGTTGTATAAGAACAGCATGTCATGCAGGATGCGTCTATCAGACAGTTTCATAAGGTTAAATACCTAAGTCGGTCAGAATAGGGCACTATTTTATTTGATCTATTAAAGTAGAAATAAGTGAATCGTCTTTGAATTGACTCGATACGGTCTTTATGAACCTGATAATTTGGGTTCCATACCACTGTGCAATATTCTAGCTTACTTCTGACCAGTGCCGTAAACAAAAGTTTTTTAGTGGTAAGGTTTTTAAATTCTTTGGAATTTCTGAACACGAAACCTAACATGCATCTAGCAGATTTACATACATTTTCGATATGCTGGTT